TAAAAGCTGTTGACATTTTATTTTTAAGTGGTTTGTGCAGCAGGTATTAAAATAGCTATTATTTTGTAGGCTACCATAAGTCATATCCACGTGACAAGACTTCCAGTCATGTTGCCCTAATAGCCCATTATTTAAACTAATGTGGCATATTTGTTAAAGCTATTATTATTATTATTATTATTATTATTATTATTATTATTATTATTAATATATTGTTGCCAGTCACAGCAGGGAAGCTCTATACCATCAACATATAACAGGACAGGAGATGAGGAAGAGTTCAGGGAAGACACAGAGACAGAAAAAGACCAGGATGAGGGAGAACAGCAGGGTGAGGGAGAACAGCAGGGTGAGGGAAAACAGGGAGATGAGCCAGATGAAAGAAGTATGCTTTAGTCTGTTCTGTTGGTCATGTGACTTTTTTCCATTGAAAACTCACGTTTAGAGAATGTTACAAATAAAAGTCAAATTTCATTCAACATGCGTTTATTTTTTTTTATAATTAAGTGTTACACGTGCGCTAAAAAGTGCCCCCCCCCCCTCCTGAGCACCTGCCCCCCAAAATGTCTGTGCACGCCTCTGCCAGTATCTTTCATTTGTACAAATAGCTTTATTATCTTTATTAGCTTAAAAAAAATGAAATATCAGAACTATAAATATACAGTCATGTGTTTATATTACTGTTTTTATGTATTTTTTTTACTGTTTTCAAGGCTGCACTTAAAAAAATTTAATTGTCTAGAGAGCTGTTCTTAACAAAATTTCTTTTTGTTTACATTTGTGTATACAAAATGACAAAATAAATCTGTCTAAGTCTAAGTCTATCCCCCTAAACTGTTATTTTAAGGGGCAAGATGAGCAATTATATTCTAAAAATGTCTTATAAGTTCATATAAACAATATTTTATCTTAAACTATTGTCTCGTTTGCAGTACCTTATTATGTGCTAGGTCCCTTATTCTTCAAATGTAAACAACAATGTTCTTCACTAAGAGAGTGCTAAACCTGAGGTTTTGGGCTACAGAAAAGTATACATGTATGGTTAAAAAAAAACAAAAAAAAAACAGTAAGTAACCAAATTGTGTGCTATGATTCTCAATAAAAAAAACTGATTACCGTATTATTGGGAAGTTTTAGTTCTATAAAAAAATTAAATAAAAAATTCATATGAATGAATACACTGCTCGGGGATCTCAGGGTTTAAGACACATTCCTTCTCCATTTTTTTTGTCCCAACTTAATTCCTTACTATTCTCATGTTTTTATGTCATCAAACACAAAGTCTTTTCCAGAAATCAGACATCTTATAGGAGGTATGTTTCAGTTCTTCTTCTTTCAATGACAAAATCTACTTACAGTACTGCACCAATCAAACCTTAGTGTGAACAATGTGGCAGAGACTTCCTTCATTTCACGTAACAAAGGAAATGGTGATTTCTGCTCACTTTGAAAGTGAAAACTCCTACGGTAAAAGGTTTCATTTTATGAAAGAGGTCAAATGTCTATTAGAAAGATATCTTTGTTTTTTTTATTTCCTTTGCAAACAGAATCATCACCATTAATATAAAAAGCAGTGAACACAGGTGTCACTCTTCCAGTGGTTTGTGCTTCCTGCTGATGCCACACAGCTTTAGGTTGCAAACCCATGTATCAACAAAACAGTAAAATTTATTAAATTTTTTTAAAGAAACTTGATAAATCCTTTTAGTTATACATAATAAACCCCCTTTAAGTAACAGTAATTACACAGAGCAACATGGTGTTGTCAGTTTCTTAAGTTTGTTTTCCCTTTTGGTAGAAAATTAAACATAATCACCACTGAAACATCGAAGTGCAGCTGTTAATGAGAAAGTTACTAATATTTTTCAGTGGGGTTTTCCGGTTAGGAATAGTGATTAAATTCCAATAAATAAATCTCTCTTTAAAAAAAAAAGTAGATTCGCTTCTCTTCATGGCTAAGGTTAAAATCTAGCTTACAGCTAGTCTAAAGCCAAGACGACAGTGGATTCTGACCATTTTAATAAACTCTGGTAAAAATGTCATGGTGGTTTAAGCAGAAGACATTTCATGAGGAGGTGAATACCCTTACATTTGCATTAGTGTGGTAATTACTTAAAAGCCTATGGACACTCTGGGGACCAAGCCAAGAGGCAAGTTGCTGCTAATGACCTTCCATGTGAACCGTTTACTATGACTTAGAGGCTTTTAGGCATATCCGGTCAGATTGACTGTCTGATCAAAAGCAAAGGCAGGGTAAAAAAAACAAATATTGTTTGCTTCCTTTTTTCAATGTCAAGATATCTTTGTGAAAAGAGACTTCGTACCCCCTGCAAAGGTCTTTATTTTTAGGTTTTCTTTTTTGAGAAATTTGCAGAAATTTCTACTTTTCTGTTTGTTTTCTGTCAAGATGGGGTGCTGAGTGTACATTAATGAGAAATAAAATGATATTCTTTTATTTTAGCAAATGGCTGCAATGAAAGAAAGAGTAAAAATTTAAAAGGGTCTGAATACTTTCTGTTTCCACTGTACATCACAGACGGAAAACCATGCATGCCGAATGCACTCACTCTCATCAAAGGACTCTTCAGAGAGAGAAACCTCACATGTCATCATGTTTGAATTGCATGAGAAGCAGGGCAGAATCCAGCCATGCAGAAAGAGTCCAGGTTGTAATTTTAATCCAAGACTTCCTTGCTGCAAAGCAGCAACTCTCTGATTAAGTCATGTTTGCTTGAGGCACCAAAATAATTTTGATTTTTACAATCACTAATTTGCTGTATCAGAAAGTCTCAGTCCGTATTGTTAATCCATAAGGACACTAAGGAAAGCTGCTGAGTAGCAGTATTAGTATTAGTGGCAGGATTTATTAAAGATCAGTTTTTGGTGAAAACCAACAATTCAAAACTAGCCTTTTTAACAGCAATTACTTTGTTTTGGTTGGAGCGACCTCATTAAAAATACTTTTATAGTTAAAAGAATGAACAAATGAACTTCAGTAAAGAGTAAAAAAAAATTTAGCCACTTTTGTGAGGATTATATTTCAAATTAAGTAAAATATTCTGCCATCTAGTGATAGAAAGACATTAACGCATTAGATGCTGCCTTTGCATAGATAAAAACAACTTTAAGCTTTAAAATACAATCTGTTATAACATCAACATTACCATAACATATATTCATCCAAATATAGAGTGAAACTCATTGTCAAGTGTGTTTGACTGAGTTTATATATTAAAAAACTTCATATAAAAGAAGTTATAATTAAAATATATAATTTTTTGTGACTCAGTTCTTAAGCTTTCTAGCGTTTATAATAGTTCCTTATTCTTTAAGAGCTGCACCACTCACATTACATTTTTAACTTACCATACCTGTTAATATATAACTGTTCTGACTTTTGTATTGTATTATAAAATTACTATCTTACAGTTTTCCTATGGATATCTTTGTCTTACTGGTGTCATGATATCATTACTAGGAGAGACAATCACCAGACAATAATCTGAGAAGTAGGCCTACTGAAGCACTGACATGTAACAACAAAAAAGATAATAAGAGTATTGAAAAAATAACGGTTTTAATCTTTTCTTAAAAAAATATGCAACTCACCGTGACTGAAGGTAAAGGGGAAACATCTTGGCCGTTTGTAATGACTGATGTGTTGCACTAAAACTTGAGTAGAACAGCTCAGAGTGGTCATGTTATAAGGCTGCTAGGGTGACAAACCATGCGTTGCCTGTTAGCCTAATTCAATTACAGCAAGAGAGACATGAGGAAAAGAAAAGTTTCGTTCTTCATTTCCCATTTGAATCTCTCCTTAACATGCTGGAGAGCAAACCTCTGGAGGCTCTAGTAGGATGAGAAGACTTTACCACAAAATCACTGTGAAAACTAGTTCTGATTCACATAAAGTCGACTGTCTTTCTGCAGCAAAGAAACTACTATTCTAATTTTAATTGAGCAATAAAATAATTACATTTCCCATCCCCAGATTAGATATGTTACTGATATGCTACATTGTTTGTCACTGTACATCATAAATGCCCTGTAACATAAATAACCAGAGCCTCAAACTGAACAGAATCAATTAGTGTCATGGGACTATTACTCCAATGTAATAGGATTTAACATTTTCAGGACACACTTTGCTACTGCCTTTTTATTTCTACCACCACTGCTGCCATCTGCTGTTCCTATCTCAAATGCACAGTTTTTTGTTACATTGAGCTAAAATAAAAGTGCATAAATAAGGAACTTTTTTTTATTGCAAAAAAAAAAAAACATATATGAAAAATATAGAACATTAATAATTACAAACATATACAACAACAAAAGGCTTTACCGAACAGAACTATTATTTTAAAATGTCAAAATTAAATCTAATCTATGCTCGAGGGTTATAATTCTTTAAGGGCAGTTATAATTTGCATGGCTTTAGCATTTGAACAAAATTTTAAGGATTCTATATGGATATTAATAGAAGATAATAAAATCTGGAAATGAGGTTTTTGTTGTAAATATTTGGAGGTGTGAATATGATATTTACCATAAATAATAAAAAAAACGATACAACATTTTCTAACATAAAAATTCTGTTTTGACAAGTTCACATTTCTCCATCCCAAACCAAACATTCCTGTCTGTTAAAGTAATGTTAAGATTTTTTTGATGAAAAAAAATTGACATAACTCTCCACAATAATTTGGTATACATAATTACAATCCCAAAAAAGATGAATAAGCTTTTCTTCATTATTTTTTTTTTTTTACAAAAAGTACACATTGGGTCCAAATCGCATTTATATCTCTCTCTGTACATGTTTCTTTCTTGCAGGGTATATAATGAAATTAGAAACGACTGATCTCAATTCCTTGTTAAATAAGACAAATTTCTCGCCAACAAAATCAAGTTTGAACATGAAATATGAAGATTCTTCAATTCTGTACAACCTGCCCATGATGTCCGCGAACGCCCCTTTGGTAACCAAGGTGATGACGCTATATTCCGTTACCAAGGCATTCTCAAGGCAAACACTAGCTGGTTAGCTAGGCTAGCCGATCTGCAGGATAATCTTGCATCTGTGGGAAAGCGGGACGTTTGCTCATTTTGTTCTGTCAAACAAACTTACAGTGAAGTTAACTGCATTTTGAACCCTTTATATCAACAGCGACTTTTATGCTTTTCGAGGGTGTTGTCTAAACCAAAGAAATTTGCTCCGTTTCCTCTGGGATCAGCTCAAGCTAACTTAGTTACGTTAACGTTGCCACACAGCCATAATGGTAAGTATAAGATTTAAACCGCGCTGCCAGCCACCTGTTTGCTCGTAAAAATGCCGAATGATTGCCGTTTTCCTTCAAAACGCTCATCAAGTTGTAAAGCTATAGCTAGCATGCAGCTCCAGCAGCTCATGTGGAAAGGCCCTGTGACATATTGACAGGAGAAAATCCTCTTCAAGTTAGCTGATAAGCTAATTGTGGTCACCATTACATCAACCTCTGTCTAATTCATATGCACATTTTTTTTTCTGATGCAATGTTTTGTTTTTCTAACGCCCTGTTTTCTTGTCTCCACAAAGGCTGACTTTGGGTTTAATGAACACCATCAGAATGAAATCATCAACTACATGCGGTTTGCTCGCTCACAGAGGCTCTTAAGGCTCAAGATTATTGACTCATGTTTTGAGGAACTCAAAGACAGCAGGTAAAAGGTCATGAACCTCTCTGTCATTGTGGATTTTGCATTTAATGTTTTTTTTTATCCACAACCACAGAGAAGTTACATAATTATAGTCATACACCTAAACCAAATTACGACATACAAAAGTATTTTCTGCCTTAAAACTAGCCAATTCCTGCTATATTACAATTGAACACTTTATTTTGAACTTTTGTGAGGCAGACCAAATATCTGAGGTTTGATAGAGCATTGGGTCCCAAACACTTCTCCGCTGTGAGATCAATAAAGCTCATCTAATCACTCAGCCTGTGCATAACAATGCAACAGACTTAAAACCCCCTGTTAAGGATAGGCTCTGTGTATGCACCCTGATACTCTATCTCTCTGGTTCTTTTCCCTGAAAAGAGATCATTCGGGACAAACTCTTTAAATAACACTTCATAACTTAACCAGGAGTCATGAAAAGAGATTTTGATAGAAATTGTAATCTTATTCAGATCAGAGAAATTGCTCAGGGTTACAGAATAGCAGCTGCTCATGTCTCAGGAAGTGGCCCCGATTATTGGTTTAAAATTAAATTTATACATCCCCAGTCGGCCACATCATCATATTTTACATCATACACATTAGCAGATGGTTAGACACCTTTCTAATGATAACAACACAACCCACATGTAAGCATGTACTGTACAGTTTTAGCTCCTGTTTTGCAGAGAGAAGAAGATTTTGCTCATAGCTTGAGGCATCTTGAAAGGTTTCGACACACTGCCAAACTATATCGATAATGCTTTGATACTGTCTCACAGAATACTGACACCTGCTGGACCTTTAAAGGCACTACAGGCAGCTTATTTGACAGACTAAACTGAATTGATTTGATGACCTAGTGCAATGATATAATTTAAGTTATAGTAGGTTATTTTGTATTATTTCATGTCTATGTTTAAATTGAAAATATCTTTGATATTTCTTTTTAGATGCAGCGAATAAATAATGTAACCATACATCATAACATCAAAATTTAGGGGGAAATGTGAATGAGGATGCTTGTTGAGCATGATTTTAAATCTTTTTTCTTTTTTTTTAGTTATTGCGGCACTAGTGGCTCATTTTTTCAACAGTAGGTTGACAGGAAAGGGGGTATGAGAGAGGGGGAGAGACATGCGGCAAAGGACCACAGGTTGGATTTGAACCCGGGTCTGTAACGTCAAGGACTAAGGCCTCCGTACGTGGCTCGTGCGCACTAACCGCTGTGCCAGCTGCACGCCCTTTAAATCCTATTTTTAAAACAATAACTACAGTAAAAATGATAAATAAAGAGTCAATTTGAAATTAACTATAAATCAGATAAGTTGAGTGATAACTGAGAGGAAAAGTATGACACAATGAGAAAATTAAAATAAAAACGCAACGGCTGAAACTTTTCTATTCCTTTTAGGCTGCTCCAAAATTCTTGATAATTTTAATGATAAACTGCAAAAGAGGAGAAATTTTTTTAGCAGATGCATAATGTTGACAGATATTTTTTTAAACACAGTTTAGTGTTTCAGTCAGTTAGAAACAATTCCTGTATCGGTCACATGACTTTCTTGAAGCGACACGAGCACCGATACAGTGTTTTGCTCTATGGGCTCGACGCATGAACCCATGCATCGGTGTTGTTGGTCCCATAACTAATGGAATTTGAAAGCTTTTCTCTGTGCAGTCCTCCTATAGTCCAAACATGCCTCTTAGGTTACTTGCTTACTTTAGATTGCCCTTTAGCGTGAGTTTAGAGTGTGTTTGTGTGTGAGAGAGTATGATTGTCTGTCCTGGGGCTCTCTGTACTGATCTCTGATGGACTGGGGACCTGTGCAAGGAGAACCCATCCTATAGTTTGATAACCGTTGGATATATGCAACAGCCCCCCCGCAAGCATATACAGTTATAGATGATGGATGAATGTCGATCTTTGTATGTCAATAACACACGTAAAAATTTTTAAAAAAAGTTCTGAAAAACCAAAACAAACGAGTTAAACCAGTAGTTTGAAATACATGTCTGGAGGAAAAAAACAAAACAAAACATAGCTTTTGTCCTTCCATATCTGCTCTGTCTGAGGAGACTGATTTTGACCCTGATATGCAACAAACATCCCATATAGGTGTGGCATGAAACTAACAATGGATATGTGGAAAATTACCACCTGCCTATTGTTAATTGATGTGGAGGATTTGAGATGTTGTGGGTCTGTTTCTCATCCCAGGATGACATCATAAAGTTTTAAAACGTACAATAGTATTTGAAAGAAAAATGGTGGAATTGTACTTGAGCAAAAATAAGTATATCAAGGGTTTTGACACATCTTTATCATTCGTAGTATTAAGTGACTGTTGGGGCTAAAGTGTTATTTGATTTTCCCTCTGAAGGCTGGTGGAGGAGACCTTCACCGTGGACGAGGTGAAGGAGATGCTGGACGGCGTGCACGCGGTGGTCCGTGGGGAAGTAGAGATGGAGCTGATCAACACAGCCCACACTAATGTGGTGCTGCTCAGACAGCTTTTCTCTCAGGCTGAGAAATTTTACCTTCGACTCCAGAGCGATATCTCAGAGCTCGAAAACAGGTGAGCTGTTAGGATCTTTAATTAATCAGACAGTTATATAGACTGAAGCTCTTTAAATCCAAAACGTTAGTGGATGTATCGTGGACACACTCATATAGACAAAATGGTAACAATACTGCCTGAAGCAAAGGCCCTTTAAATTTTAACAGCTGTAACAGATTTACATCTCCAACATGTCATTCACTGGGGTAAAAAGGTCAGCTGTCTTCTGCTGATCTAGTTGCGTGAAACCCAAGTTTCCACTATACTACTTCAGTTTCCATTTAGATTTACATTTAGTTGGGCTAAAAACCACAAACTGTCACCTGCTTAGTGCAACCTGAAGCATTTCTCTGGAATTTAGGCAATGTATTTTTTTTTTTTCTTTTTCTTCTGGGCGATTTTACAAAAATAAAAGGTTATGTTTTGGGGGTTAAGGAAAGAATTGTATGTTATACAAGTAAAGTAAATAGTTAATGGTCTAATTAAACAAATTCTAGTCTAATTTCAAAAGAAAAACATTAGTTCCCTTAAAAATTAAGAAAAAGAACAAAGACCACTATGAATCCAAATTTTATTAAATTTTTACTTTTAGAGCGGACTGAGAGACTTCTATTTCAATGAATAAAATGTAATTTTTAATATTTTACTAAATGGAATTGGATAAATAAATTTTGATGATTCATTTAGAGGCACATGTATGTGATAATAAAGAAAAAATAATATTGAAGTCAAACAGTTTCCATTCTTCAACAGACCCTTGCAGCTGATCCTGCCTGCTCACAGTTTCACCATCTATAACCCTTTGAAGGACAGTGGATCATATATTTTAATAAACCACCATTTTTAGAGATGCTTTCCTAAATCCTGCACATGACAAAGCTGTTCATCCATCTACCTATTTTGATCTGAATATAAGCCCTTTTAAAATTGACTGAACTTTATTTAACTTATGCCCTTATGACCCATCACCTTATAAAACACAATGTTTTGAAGAAGGTACTTTGTTTATAGTGTAACAGTCACATGGTGGGTGGAAGAATAACCCATAAACCCTTTTTTGTTCTGCACCTCTGTACGTGACTGAATAGGTTTATAAGCAAGGAAAACGCCCCGTGTCACATACTACGTGTCTTCAGCTGCTTTTAAAAACCACATATAAGCTCTTCTGAGTGTAGTGCTGCTCACCACAAGCATGTATCTTATAACATAAGTGCTAAACTGCCATCGGGAGTGAGGGAGTTCACTTTTCCTTTGCCATTCACGACCGCCCAAATAGTAGATGGTAAGAGTTTCGCACAGATGAATGTCAACACGGAGGTTACACAACTGCTGTGAACTGAGTGTCCTATCAGGGCTGCTCAGAAAGTTATGGAGGCACATAGAATCTGTTTACATCTTTAAGCATCTAAAATTTTGTGTTTCCACTAAATTTCTCTCTTTTTTTTTTTTTTTTTTACTAATCAGTCATCTATTGTCTTTTTCACCTCTCGTCCTTTTAGGGAGCTGTTAGAGCAGGTGGCTGAATTTGAGAAGACTGACTTTAAAACTACCAATAAGGTTTGAAAGATGCTTTTTTCCTCTTCAGACATCACCATTCATGGCAGAGGCTAAATTAAAGTAAACATAGAGTACCTGCCCCCACACTTTAAGATCTTTTTAATGTCAGACTGTGGCCTATATTTGTAAAAGTGTGGTTCAGAAGACACATGTCACCGAGGTTCACCTGTGGTTTTATGTTAGTACGTCTAAAAGAGATTAAATAAGCTCTGCAGTGCAACTGTGTGCTCTTTGTATGACTGTGAAATCTGAAATTCACTTCTAGACAAACCAGGAAACGCATAAACCCAAGCTGGCACCGCTGAACGAAGGTGGGGTGTCTGAGCTCCTCAACAAGGTAAAACGATTCCCCATCGGCTGTGAATTTACAAAGATGTGATGAGGAATTTTTAAACTGTTTCAAACTTCCATGATTTCAGTGATTTCAATAATGTGATTTTCTCTCACCCTTGAACATAGAGTCTTAAATGTACTCGCATCCCATTAATACTTTGATAATTGTCCCCTATTGAAAATTCTGCAATATGGCTGGCTTTTAAGTATTCATCAACTTCTAATAAGTTTGAGTGCCAAGGCCATTTCCTGGGCTAAAGTTAGCTGGTCTTGTCTGTTCAACAAACCAGAAGTGACGACCATCTATCTGTCGTCTCTGGTTGGAGGGGGTAACAGGTCCAGAAATCCCCACTGGTTCTGTCTGTGATCTCCTGCCAAGAGGGAAGGCATCAAGAAGACCTCCTGATCAATGTCCTGAATTAGTTAAATTGAATCCTTTTTCTAAATTCAAGGAAGAAGAAGCATTAGAAGCACATTAATGAGTAAACATAACCAGGATTGCCGAGCCTTGGATCCCAGAGATCGACTCAGACCAAAAGGAAATCTAGAAGTCCACCATTTGCATGAAGACATGTCAAAACAGTTGCATTTCAATTTGGGTGGAATCCAAGGTGCTGATCATGTGGATTCCTGGCGACTTTTACCTACTGAGCCCCACAACAAAGCATGATTGGGTTTTTCAGAGATTATAGTTATTTTAGGTTCCACTAATCTAATTTTATAATATTTAACATTTTTAAGGGGTCTTTCTGGATGCTATTAATAAATAATGTTTTACATGTAACGTTTTTTATCCATTTATTTTTTGCCAGGACTTGAAAAGTGATTGTTAATCTCATTGGTGACTTTCTTGGTTAAAAAAAAAGGTTTAACAATAAAAAGCACTGTCTGGCTTAAGGAAGATTTATGAGAATTTTTTTTAAGTTTAAAGTTTTGGTTGCTCCAGGTTTAGAGTCAGCGTGATGAATTTGGACGTAGACGTTCATCTCAGCTGATGCAGTACATCACTACCATGGGCTCCTCAACATTATGTGCTTTACAATTAGTAAAATAGTCTCAGTTTAAGGGACGTTCTGTTCCAGGAAACCAACCAGTTTGAAGCAACTATTGATTCTGATAAGAAGAGTGCTTCAGTTTTTAAATCTGACATGAAAATTCTGACATTTCTTCCCCTAATGAGCAACTGTTAGTTTCTGCAGAGCTATCTTATTGCTTTCACCCACTGGTTGAAAAGTTAAATAAAATGCCTAGAGTAATAAAATCTGTTATTGATCCTTTTTTTTTTTTTTTTTTTCAGGAGATAGCAAGATTACAAGAGGAGAACGACAAACTGAAATCCAGGCTGCGGACTTTAGAATCACAGGTATGAAACGGTCCCTATAAACCTATCCCCTCCCCACACAGGCTTATTGTTGCTCATTTCTTTTTGTGATCAATACACCCAGGCCATGAGTGTACTAGATGAGAAAACGAAAGCAGAGAGAGCTTTGAAAGATCTCCAGAGGACACAAGGAGATCAACAGGTACTGTTTGACTTCCATGTAAAAAATCACCATTCAGCAAATCTTTCCATTTTCTTTTTTTTTTTTTCACAAATATTTATTTGGGATTTTTTGTCATCTGCATGCTTTTTACCGATTGCTATTTTGTGCTTACTTTGGCCTGCATGGTATGTATGAACCTGCAGAAACTCTTTTTGTCATTTAAAAAAAATTGTTCTGTTAAGGCCTGTCAGGCTGTATGGACTATAATTGGTTTTCTTCAATGTTTCAGCTTTCTGCTCAAACAAAGGAGATCAGCAGCCTAGAGAATACAGTAGCAGCCCTGAAGGAGGATTATGAAAGATCGCTTAGTGCCAATGCTGCAACCAAGAAGGATCTGCAGGAGAATTTAATCACCGCCAAGCATGAACTTCTGCGAGTGCAGGAGCAGCTGTCCTTGGCAGAGAAGGTACCTCTTTATGACCGCTCTCCATCTGGTGAATTAATATAGGAATTAAAAAGAAAACAAATGTCTTAGAAAGGATCAGGTATCAAGGATTATATGTACATTTCACAATCATTGAAAATGAGAACCTTAGGAAACATGATTATATAATGAGGAGACATTAAAAGTAGTAAAAACAAAAATAACTCATAACTGTCACACTTCTATTAGTTTGTTTTTCTACCAATGTGACCTCAGCTGCTTTGTTCTGTTCTTCAGAAAGGTATGGCATGTAGAGGTAAGTCAGAGAAGCATCCAGGAGGGTGATGATAGCGGTGGAGGAGCTGCAGATAAGTCAATAGGTCAAGTTGGAAAATCTTTTGACAAGACGGGCATATAAGAGAAATGTAAATTTTCTGACCACAGCATGGTAGTAGTAGCATCATGCTGTGGGACGGATAGCACTGAATCCAGGACAGATCTGGAAAAATGTGCTGAAAACTGTGAAGGAATGAGACTACATTAAAAGAAGAAAAGTCCAGATGTTTTTGGCATTGCTAGAAAACTGATGTCTGGTACTACATTAAATAAAAATGAGCACAAGCTTCATTCAAGCTGATTCAGGGGAGGTTCTCCAAAGTATTCATTTAGAGTAGCTGAATAGACACACCCCACAACATTTAAAGCCATGTTTTACTTTTCAGCTCATAATTATGCAGTAATTTGTGTTGGTCTATCACTTAAAGCTCCAAATAAAAAGTTTTTAACACAACAAAATTGAGTTTTAAATAGAATTGTGAAGCTCTTTATTTTGTTTTTTGCTAGAGCTCGAGGAATCGGACTTCCTCTTTTATGCAGTAACCTTGAGGAAGCATGAATTTTCCATGATCATTCCCATCATAAGATCAGACAGCTGACTTCATCTCAGGAGGTTATATTGTAGTTTTTTTTTCCCCTTTTATTTTAGGAGTTTTTTTTTTTTTTGTAAAGCTGAACAGAAGCTAAAATAAATTGGTTAGTCTCTACTGCACGTCTCTTAACTGTGAATCATACCTAAAACTCTGTCTAAGTTTAATTCCTTCCTAGTGGCTAACATGTGATTTCGTTGCTGCCTTTCGTCGTTCCTTCCCTCTAATGTTTGGATATTTGTTTAGGAGTTGGAGAAGAAGTTCCAGCAAACTGCGGCATATCGCAACATGAAGGAGATTCTAACTAAGAAGAATGAACAAATCAAAGAAATAAGGAAACGACTGCAGAAGTGAGTTTTCTCAATAGCTTTTTTTTTTTTTTTTTTTTCCAAATAACCTATTTCCCAGTTACTGTGACGTTTCAGGGACAACATTCAACAACCGTGGTTCTATTTGTGTCACATGCTTTCTGGTTTCTGTTCCAGGTACGAGCCCGATGACTGAGTACGCATTAATTCATCAGTAAGACTCCTGCCTGGTTCCAGTGTTGTTTTTATTTCTGTTTTGTTTCGCTTTTTTCTGCCATCCTCCATCCTTTTATCTTCTATAAAGCCTGACCGATCAGTTGGAGAAACTCCTGACTAAATACACAGAAGATGTGATGACATTGGTGTACTTTTCCCCCTTTCAATGTCTAAACTTTGAGCTCCTCTGCAGTAGCTGGTAGATTTCCCTTAGTGCTCTATGCAATTTCCAACATTTTCCTGTTTGAAGGGGCCTTTTACTGAACTGGACAAAAATAAGCTTTGTAGTCTTACAGTGCCTTGCAAATGTATTCATAGCTCTTTGAATTTTTCATATTGAATCCTGTTACAAACACAAAGTGTGAGTTTTTTTATTGGGAAATGTAATGGGATATAACAACACATTTTGTAAGTCTTTTTCACTGTGAGGTATGTGGTAGCAGGTTTCTATAGAACTTTGTTGGATTGTCTTTGCAGAATTAGTAAAGTGCAGTTATACTGGTTGGAGAATATCTTTGCATTTTGGTTTTCACGTCTTTCTTGCCAGTGCTTCTGTACTGGATTTTAGCGTTTTGTACTATTCTGTCAGCTGAATATATTTTTCTTTTTTATTTCTGGCTGTATTTTTAGGAAAACACTTTGATCCCTAACAAAAGAAAATCACAGAAAGACCAATCCTTCTCCTCTAAAAGGTTCTTTTTAGACATTTCCCCTATATTTAGCTCCACCTATTTTTCCTGTTAAGGCATATCAGCAGCATGATCCTGCCACCACCGTGTTTCAGCAGGGGAAAGGTGTTTTCATATTAATGTACAGTCCACTCCTATTATGTTCAACACATTTTTTTTGTTTGTTTTTAATGAAGGCAAAAGATCAAAATTTGGCCTTCATTTTCTGTCTGGTATGCCACGACCACCCTCTTCCACATGTTTCTTTGCACCACTTTGCTGCCCTGATCAATGTATTCTAAGACTTCTACTTTTGAACAAAGACTCCTAGCTCCCACATTAGCTAGGGATCACTACAATTTTTTAACAGTTACCATGGCACTAACTGCTTTTCTAATTATTTCCCTCCATCTCTACCCTGTCCGTTTAGGTAAACCCCTATATCTTAGCAGGTTTACTGACTTTACATACTATTTATAGTTCTAAATATTGGACTGACCCATGCTCGGGTAGGTGTTTAAAACCCTTTGGTATCATTTATAACCAATCCTGACCCATCTGTTCTGTCTCTAAGTCTTTATGATGTTTTTTGTTCACTAATGTTTTTCATGAAACCACTGAGACCTTGATACTGAGTTAATATTACAGGCAGGTGAATGCTATTTACTAACTAGGTAATTTCTTGATTCAGTTACTTTTACTTTATTTTGTCAGGAGCATCATAGTAACGTAGGCAAATTTTAAATTCTAACTATACTTAACAGAGCATTTATTTAATTATGCAACACTTTGTGTGGTTCTGTCTACATAAAAAGTATTAAAGCTCAAGGAGTATAAATACATCTACAAGGCACTGCATAGATTCCATGGGACCTGCTAAGTATAACCTAATATTCTGCTCATCATTCTTAACTTTAGCGGCACCTTAAAGTCCAAGTATACTCCCCACCACCTTATTTAATATTGAACCACTTTATAGAAGGTGATGCTTCATGATCATTTTGGGGTGCTCGGACTTTTACAAACATCTGAGAGTATTTCAATAGTTTTCATATGTAACTGCAGTGTGTTTCCTTTCTGCTCTTACATCTAGATTTAGAGGGTCTAGAATATTTCTTGCATTGAATCCTTGCATATTTTTTTGTATTGCTGTACATAAATGATTTTCGTTATTTCAAATGCTCCTGTAGAGTGTGCATTTAACTGGATTATAAAAATGTAACCAGATAATAAAAAGTGTGGCCAAACAGGTGTTTTTTTACTTTAAATCAAGGTTATTTCTTTATTTTAAACACTTTAAAAATGCTCCTACTCAAAGTATGAGCACTCATAAGTGTGCTGTTAACACCATGGGATAAAAACTGTAGGACGCAACAAGGGGGCGCCAAAGTGCAAATATACAGAGCATGCAAACATAGTTTAATTGCATCATGACTACCATTTTGATTGATTTCAAACATTAAGTTGATATTTTCTATTGTAGATCTTCCTGCTGCAACCAACAGGTTACTTCACATTAAAGCAAGAACAGAGCACATGATGTTTACTGTCACATATTCATTCCCATCACATTGCTGCTGGGTTTGTGAGTGGGGCACATTCATCTGATCTCCAGCTGTCAATGGGGGAGAGGTGGGGTACACCCTGGACAGGTCACCAGTCCATCACATGGCAGCACAGAGACAAACAACCATTCACTTAAGGAGAATTGAGAAAAGCTAATTAACCTGACAGACATGTTTTTGGACTGTGGGAGGAAGCCAGAGTACCCAGAGAGAGCCCATGCATGGACAAGAAGAACATGCAAACTCCATGCAGAAAGACCCCAGGCCGGGAATCGAACCCAGAACCTTCTTGCTGCGAGGCAGCAGTGCTACCCACTGTTGAGTTTTGCAGCCCTATTGTCATGACTCTTTAGCTCTATTTAGATATAAAGCAACTTTTAAAGGGTGAAAATACTTCCTACACTCTTTGACTGATCAAATTCAAGAATGCAGGACGTTTCAATGCCTTAATGGCTTAGAATACATGCGCTTTATTTTTTAAGACGTGTTTCTTGAGAAAAATGTTTTCACAAACACATCATGAGAACTGAGAGTGTGATAAAATAAGATACAAAGTGGTCAGTAGCTAGTCAACCGTTAACTCCTTGTTGTTGACATTGAAACTCACAAAGCCACAGAGTCCTGACTTAAACTGGGGTTTAGTTTTGCATCGAGTGGGGGAGTTGCATGCAGGATATTCACAGCCTTGCAATGGTTGTCATACTAATTGAAGTTTTTTTTTAAACAGACCATTCATTGTTTTTCACAGGAAATGTATGTGATAGACTGACAGGAAGTAGTGCATGATTGTTTAGTTACTTTACAAAATATTTTCAGTTCCCTTTATGCTAAGAGCCTAAGCACATAAAGCAACCAGTTGCCTTTAGAAGCCACCTAGTTAGTAAAACGAGTCAGCCTGTGAGTAATATGATAGATGCAGCTGTTCTGTAAAGGTAAAAGTTTTGGAGAGCATGGAAAACTTTGTTACCTGACAACAAAAAGAGCAGAGCATAACTACAAACCTTTGAAGAGATGGCTGCCCACTGAGGCCCATGTTAGCTCTGGAGGAGCTGCAGACACCTGCAGCTCAAGTGGAACAAACTGTTAGCAGCACAACTGGCCGTTATGAATATCTCCTACTTTGTGTTGGTCCATTATAACAAACTATTAGAATGCATTAAGACTAACAAAATGTGAGGTTTTCCTTTTTTTGTTTTGTTTGCAAGCTTTTGCATTTTTTAAAATACCAACATAAAAAACAAGCTGATCACAGAGGTCCACTGTCCACTGTGGAAGAGAGGGTCAAGAGTATGTACTATTGAACAGTTTGAATGTGTGTATGCAGCTGAACACTGGGGAAACTGCCAATAATTTCAGGTAGGATGCCGCAGCTTAGCAGTTACAACCTTCATGCATGAAATAAATCACAGCGAGCAAATACACAGGAAGTGGTGGCAGCCTTCTCTCAGTACAAAATGCAGTCTCTCGCACCGCCGAAAGCCGTGACAGTAACAGTACTTTCCCACAGTATGGCTCAACAGTTAATAAATTCAAGTATAGTGAACTTAATTCAGAGCAGCTTTCTGATCTCTCTTACTCTGCATCAAAGGGGCTTTCTCAGTTTCACAAGCACGCTAGGAGCTTCTGTTTGTGTTTTTTTTCTTTCCATCATAGCGCAGATGTTTACTGCTCACAAGAATTTCAGCAGAATTTCACAATGTGGGGAGATATGCCACTTGATACTATTCTCAGTTTTAGGGAGAGAAAAAAAGAAAAAGCCAAAAAAAGTTATGTTTTACTTTTACTTTTTGTATGAAACTAATTAGACTCCCCATAAGATCAGAATTAGTCGTCTGAGGTGCATACTGCTTAGCATGGCCTGCACTTTGAGGTGCTTAGTTCAGAAATGACTTAAAGCTTCAAAATAGAAAAAGGGTAGTTAAGCAAATACATCTGGAATATAAAAAGAAGGCTATGAATGTATTGAATACATGTGACTAAAATGTACTGAGAGAACTTTCTCTCACCATCACGTGGTTTAACATCTTCCACTGGTTGCTGCAGATAGAAAGACCAAACTCTCTGAACCCAATGAGGTCTTTCAAAGATGGCAGATTCTTTTCACTTGTCTTTGCTTCTCATCTTCATCTCCTTGACCCTGCCTGCCACTGACTAGATGAGAAAGCAGTGATCTGTTTTTTTAGAGGTTAGCGTACCACTACTAGGAGTGGTATCTCAAAAAGCATGACAGATTAAAATCTGTGCCTTAGACTTCACTTGTGGTTTGTTCTGAGTATGATTGCATGTTCTGTACCTTATTTCATAGACTTTTATCTTGTTTTCCCCCCCGTTTTACGTTGCTAAAATATGTATGCAGCAATGTAACAAAAATGCTTTGATTTATTTACCCTTAATTCTAGGTCACACAATAAAGTGCAATAAACTGCCCTAAATAATCACCTGTTTAATGGATAGAATCCACCATTATGCTAAGTACTATAAGTAAAAATCATGCCATAGTCCTGAGGCCTCAGAGGTTTATTAGAGAAAGTTTGTGAACAAACAGCGTGATAAAGAACATCAATCATGGCATACGGGGAGAAAAAGCATTTAAAACAGGGTTAGGTGTTAGAATATGTCGTGTCACAGGAAACTGTTCAACCCATCATATGTAAATGGGAAGAAATTAAGCAAATCTACCAACCTCAACCACACTGTTGTCCATCTAAACCGAAAGCTGGGCAAAGATAGGGTTAATCAGAAAAGGCTGGGTGATGATTACTCTGGAGGAACTACCCTGCTCAGGTAGAGATTTACCTTTGACAGGATTTACCTTTAGTTGTTTGAGCCACAAACCTGACCTTTATAGTGAGAATTGATTTGTTTAAAGACAAAGTTCCTGAAGAATTTCCCGTTTAAACTTTTATAAAAGCCTGCCTGTGCAAATTTTCAGTCATGAAGGTCATGGGATGACTGAGAATTTGTTTGTTTGTGGTTTTCCGAAACCCCTAGTTGATCCCAGAAAATTGTGGAATCAGGTGCTCTGGTCATATGAGTTTAAATTATAACCTTTTAGCTCACATCCCAAGCTCTATGTGTGATGATTAAAACCCTTCATATCAACCAAGCTCCATCTTATATCAGAGATATGATTTTTTCCTATGTTCCTAACTGAGCCCTTCCCTCTCGAACTGCAGAGTTAGTAGTGGTTCCTGGAATTTCAAAAAGTAGAATGGGAGGCAGATCCTTTAGTTATCAGGCTGCTCTCCTGTGGAACCAACTACCAGTTTTAGTCTGTGAGACACCCTGTCCACTTTTAACCGTAGACTTAAAACATTCCTTTTTGATAAAGCTTATAGTAAGAGTTACTCAGGTTAGCCAGTGATATTCTCTATAACTGTGCTGCAATAGGCTTAGACTGCTGGAGGACATGGGGACCCTTTTTCATCATACTGCCTTATTCTGTCTCTATTCTCCCACTGTGCAGAATCTGTTAGTTTAATCTCTAACGTTATGCTCTCTCTGCCTTTTCTCATAGTAGCTTCACCTCATCTGTTCCTGTTTGGCTGTAACACCATCCCGGAGAGAAATATCAGCTGTGCTGCTGCCATCAACACCTTTGTTTATAGATGTTGGAGATCGGCCTGTTTCTAAGTGTAGTCTTGTTTCTCTGACTGTGACTAACTGGATGTGCTCTCCTTCATCCTCTGACATGGGAGCTGGCTCAGAGCTCGTCTGCCTGGCTGTGTGTTTTCTAGACGGGGCCACCTGTGGAGCTGTGACAGTTGCCTTTTGTATCTCTGCTTCTTTCTGTATGTCTGCTTCTGCTTCAACAAAAGTCTGCCTCGGTAGATGATCACACTGAGTCTGGTTCTGCTGGAGGTTTCTTCCTGTTAAAAGGGAGTTTTCCTCTCC